AGTCCTTCTTTGACTCTCTGCCGAGTCCTTCTTCGACTCTCTGTCGAGTCCTTCTTCGACTCTCTGCCGAGTCGTGCTTCTACTCTTTGCAAAACAACCTTTGTTTTTGTTCTGACTAATGTTCTGGACTGCCAATTGCTGAATCTGTCTCGGATCTTCACCGAGTTCTGTTGGCTCTTCCATGTGCCATTTTATGCTTGTTCTTCAAGCAGGAGTCCATTGCTTTTATTGGTCACGCTATGCACATGAAGACTTAAAAATCCAACTTGTTCGTTTATGCAATTTATTGTTCAAACTCCAACTGCTTTGTGTAAAAACATCTTGAGTTTGAGGGGGAGTATTAGAGTATGTAAATCTATATTAATATGCATCATTATGAATACGTAATGAGATATGTATATGTATGAATATATATCTCTTAAGTGTCTCTTGATTATGATAAGATTAGTTGGCAGTTATCCATAACCGTTGGTATTTATCTTTAATTGTTACGCACTGTATATTTATACGGGTCTTGTATATTGTTAATCAATCAATAAACATAGAGTTCTTTGCAGCATTCTAAGATAATCTTCCATGGGGCCCTAAAGCCCAAATATACGGAAATACAGTTTCTTAACAAGGGTTATAACATTGGGCAGCTAGATGTTATAAGCAATAAAGGAGTTAGTTATGTTAGTAAAGCATGAGTTTATCTAGTGTTTTGGACATGATTTGTTTTGCATTGATAAAATTATTCAAATGTTTCAAGATTTATGAGATGGGATTATATACTATGAGACCATTTACTTTTTTGTACAAGGAGATCACAATCATTTTTAGCTATTTGTAGATGCTTCGATCTTGATTGGAGAAATTATGGATAGGTTGAAATGTCCCAGGTAGACCACCTGGATATTTTAAACCATTCACCCCACCAAAACCCCTTTACGTAAATCTAACCTCCACTGATCCGAAATTGCTTCAATGGGGCAAAAGGCATCAAGAGGCGAGACAAGGCAAGGACTTTGAAACATTTCCAAAAGGGAAGGCTTTAATGTTGCCCCAACGCGTCGAAACCCTACCAAAAGTATGAAGACAAAGCATCGAAAGCACCTCAGTCACAAAGCAAGCAGCCATAAGGGACAGAATCTGGCGCCATTCCTAGTGGTGCCAATGCCACTCCAAACAGTGTCAAGCTTGAGGTCCCTCCATGAGCTCCAGAATGATTAGAAGTCTAGCAACAGTGCCAGTGTTGTCAGCTCCATTTTCAATGTTGCCAGACCCGAAGACTTTTGCCATGTAGGAAACAAGCTGGCTAACAAGACTGAAATGACATGCTGACATGTCAGGCCATACCCGTCGACATGGTAGACCCGTACTAACATGTCAGAGGTTAGTATGGACCATGGTTGTCGAGCTATGATTGGTCGAAAATCCAAAGATAGTACAACCAAGATGAAGTCCCAGCTAGTGTCTAACGACACTACAAAAGTCATTGGCGCCATTCGAAATAACTTCAAGCTGTGATTGATCCAACAGAACCAGATCAGTGTCACCAGAATGCGACATGTGTCCAGATAGGAAGCTAAAGGCAATCGGAATGCCGCTGGCGCCAAACTGCATGTTCCTGAAGCAAGAACGACAATGCAGAGTCCTCTTACTCCTCTCATTTAATGTGTTTCAATCTCACTTTCTCCCTCATTATTCTCTCTCTAATGCTTTGTTCTCTCTCTCTCTTCCTCTCGAATGTAGTTTCCTCTCTTTTACCCCCTTCACCTCTATTCTTTCATTTTCATCGTCTTATCTTAGTTGCTTAGAGAGTGGGAGATTTAAGTTAAATTTTGATGGGAGCTCTTTGGTCAATCCAAGTTTGGCAGGCATTGGGGTGTGGTGCGAGATTGTTTTGGAGAGGTCATCTTCTCATGTGTTGGCCCTGTTGGTATTGCCACGGTTAACCAATCGGAGTTATTGGCTTTGTTGCAAGGGTTAAAAATTTTTATCTCGAGAAACATCGGGAATAGTTGCATTATTGAAGGAGATTCAATTAACGCAATTAATTGGTGCAAGAAGAAGCAGCATATTCCATGGGAACTAAGGTCTAGCTAGATGTAGATTATGGATCTAGTGGCTCTACTTTCAATTTCTTTTTGTCATGTCTTTCGCGAGGCAAATTCATTGGCTGACTTTCTGGTTAAAGGGGGGGCCTCTTTGTCCGCTTTAGCTATCTCCTCTTATGTAATTTCTTTGGACTAGATTTTATAAATAAAGTAAATAATATTTGTCAAAAAGAAAAAAGGGTATAGATAGTGGGTTATATTTCATAGATTCCATGCTTTTTATCTTTTTATTCTCTTTGCATTTTATAGTTAGGTTCTTTACTCCCGTTTATATGTATTTCCTTAGCTTGATTATTTATTGTGGTTATCATTTCCTCCTTTTTTTAAACCTATTTGTTTAAAAGCCTCCTTTCTATCCTCAAACCTTTTTTCAAAAACTTTCTTGTTGAGTTCAAGGTTGAAATAGGAGGGAAGCAGGCTTTTCTGGTGGTGCGAGAGGGATACTGTTTTAGGATGCGATTTTTTTTCAGAGCGTAATTTGACAAGACCTATTCTTTTCCAACTCTTAAATTTGTTTGCACCCGAAACCATGGTGGGGGCAAAGTCCCTTGCCCGCATTTTTTAGTATAAACACACTATTGGATGTGAAATCTGATAGACGAAAGTGCATCGCAACATTTGAAAAATTTTATTTTGGACTTTGTGCCTAAACAATAACGCATACGCAACCATCCGATTTTAAATCCAATAATCAATAATCATTGTGACATTGTAATAAAAATAAATGGTCTCATTGTATACATTTCCTTAAGAGATTTGTTAAGAATGATCAGGGAAAGAAGAAAGGTGTAAAGAAGCTTAATGGTGAAGATTCGATTCTTTTCTCAAAGCGTATCGAGTCAACGAATATTTGACAACACCCTAGTGGATATACGATGTCCAAAAAATACAATATAAATCACTCCCCACACAATTCTTCAAGAACTTTCAAATATATAGACAATGTTTGCACACGCATATGACATTTGGGGGCATTTAGATTAGGAAAAAGTTTATAGAAGGTTGCACATTTATACTATATAAAAGTACGGTGCGCCTACAAAATCCAGTTGAAAAAAGTGTTCCAAAATTGCAAGAACATCCAATTGATAATCTTGATCTCAGATTTATGCATATAAATAAAAATAAGAATTTCAAATCTTAAAAATAATACAACTAGTAACAAGTTATCTGGACTGTCTATTTTTCTAGTGTTTATAAATCTACCTAATTTATATCATTTTTGGGATTTTAAATTTCATATTTAGTGTTGAACATGGATTTTCAAGCCGTCTTAATGTTTTCAAATGCCGAAACTACATCTTTCGCAAATTTAGAGGTGCGCCTTACTTTTTATAGTCCAAGATAGACACCTTATACAAACCTCATCCTTTATATTAAGGCTTGGGCTTTATATTAAAAAGTAAAGCTGCATGGTAAATCTCACTAGAAATGAACTTTTGGCACCACAGATTTTTGGTGTTGGATTGAAATTTTATTTCCAAGTTTGATTTAGAGAGTTGAAGTTCTAAATTTGGTGCAAACTTAGTAAATTTGTGAATGTATGAATATGAAACAGGCGGTCCATATAATATATAGGAAAGCTTTTTATGTTCCCTACACTATCCTCCTTATCCAACCGTCCATTTTTTAATGGAGGGTTAAGATTGCCCCAATCATAATATTACGTCTCTATACTGTTTCATTTTTAATGTTTTTTCTATAAACGTTTTTTATACCAAATTTTGGACGTCCATTCCTCTATTAAACTTGTACTAACGAAAAATATAAAAAAAATATTTTCAAAAAAATAAAATAACCAAAATACACCTGAAAGCTTCAAAGGTATTTTGGTCATTATTTTTTATCAAAAAATTATTGTTAGTATTTTTTATAGATGCACCCCAATGAGAAGATGGCACATACCAATTTCATATTCAGAAAATTTGTATTAAAAATGCTAAAAATAAAATACTTTGAGACGTCAAATCTAAGATCAAATGGCGAGTGACTCTCTTGATAAAAAAAATGGATAGCTGGATGGTAAAGGGAGGATAGAACTTCTATGTTGCAGGGGAATATAGAAAGCTTTTCCATAATATATTATATGAGGCGCTGTTTTTTATACTTAAAATCTATTTTTTTTCATCTAGGATTGTGGAGGTTGAGAGATCATCAATTTTAGGATTTTTCTGCCCAAAAATTGCATTTTTCAAGTGGGGCTTTGAACTGCAGTTTTGTTTTTTCTCGTAAATCTTAGGGCTTATATGAATTTCACACGTGCATGCCCACATACATGAAAAAAAACATCTTGTATGCCCGCAATCATATAGGCTAATATAAACCCTGCCCCGATTAAAAAATGAACAAACCAGCTTTATTAGAGAATTTTTTGGGGGAAAAAAAGAGAAATTGATAGATTGGAAATTTGCATCCATGTGGTTCTCATTCAAGGGCTAAAAACAAAAATACATAAAAAATATCGAAAAAAAATTGTTCATCGTTCTCAGCCATTTAGGTCGCTTCCTCTCAGTCCCTCCTATGACACAGATGATGAGCTCTTTGGCTCATAGAATAATTGTTCGGCCATTCTTACTTTCCAATAATTCCATTCAAATCATTATTATTTGAAATTATTACTTTCCTCTATCGATGTGTTTTTCTTGAAGATTTTCATTGTTTTTAGTGCAATAGTCTTGAAAGCAGTTCAATGGCTCTGCTTTAAATATTGAAATCATTTTGTTTTCCTGAAGTTTCAAACTGAAATCATCATGGTTGCCACAGAAGCAACTGAATCCCATCCCCCCTTTCTCTAGCTGCTCACTCTCTCTCTCTCTAGCTGCAGTCTATAGGCTAGGAATGCAAATATAAAGACAAGAATATACATCTCTCTCTAGCAGTCTATACCCTGGAATGCAAATATCAAGACAAGAATATCCTCTTCTTTCTCTCTCTCTCAAATATCAAGACAAGGATATTGTCCTATTTTAAGCAACCACGACAGAAAACCATTATCAACTTCCATATATAAAACAAGTACAAAAATAGGAGACCAGTTCCAACTTTTCTCTATACACATTTTATGCTTTGGATTGACACAAACATCTCCCATTAGCCATCTCCTTTGCCAGCAAACAACTCCAGGGCCAGGCATGAGTCTCAGGGTCAAAAAGCAACCAACCTCAAAACTCTTCACTGATAAACTTATCCCCTCCATTCTTCAACCTCTTGGAAACTGTTCAAAAGAAAAGCGCCTGCAAATCCTTTGAAATATTTCCACACTCATTCTCTCCATCTCCCATCACCAAGACCTGCCACACCAAACATATATCATAAAGACTCTCTCTCTATCTCTCTCTCTCTCTCTCTCTCTTACAGTGAAAAACTTGGAGGACTTACATTAACTTGACAAAGTACAGGGGATGATCTGAATTCAGCAGCTGGAATGCCGGTCATGGCAGGAACATACGAGATGCCCACTCAAGGCATTTGTGAATCAGACCTTTGTGACTGATGAGTTGATCGCTCAATGGAACCTCTCGGCTAAGGTGATGGCGGGTGGAATGGGTGATTGAAAAGAAGTAAATAAATGACTTCCACTCCCAATGACTCTAGGCAGCTGAAGGCTGGAACTCACAGTGCCCTTTGCGGCCTGTTCTAGGAGTTGAACTAGAGAGAGAAATATTTCCATCCTTGTCATGTCCCTGTTAGCCTACAGGTCAAGAAAAACAAAGAGACCATTCATTTGAGTACCATAGAAGGATATGCCAAGGACCCCATTAAAGTATGGTGCAATTTGATTACCTCAACTGCAAAGTGAGCCCATATCTTATCATTCCGAGACTCCATAACCCCCTTCAAGATGGTAAGTCCAAATCCTCGGATTATGTCTGCTATCTCCAGGAAAAAACCTCGCTCTTCGCAGAGCATCTGCAATGTAAATGATTTAGACATCCCTTCACAAAACCACAAATGATATATTCATCAAAACAAATTAGTGAAACAGTTGGGACTCAAGACTGCGAAATTTTGACAAGTTGGGTTTGTTCAGAAATGCAATTATATTAGAAGATTATGATTCTACGTGATATTTTCTTGTTAAAGGGAATATAGCCTGATGTACAATGGGAGTCGAAAAATAATACGGATAACAAAATAGAAGATGAAACAGGGGATTGAATGCCCCTGGAGGTGTGAAGCCCACCAATGAGAGTATGAAAAAGGTTACCTCGACAAGCATCTGGCGGGGAGGGTTAAGATCCTCGACTATAATTGGGCAAACCATGGATTGGCACCCAACTTCAAATGCCCATGTAGCTCCCCCACCACCATCCAAGTAATCCTTCAGTACCAAGCCACTTTCATTGCCTATCATCTGGACATTAACAAAACAGATGCAGTTTTTGAGATAAATGAGTCACATAAAGAATCTAATTTTGTTTCCTTGAACACCGTGATAGGATTAGAACCTAAAAACCAAACTGAAAAGCTTTCCTCACCTTTGGCTCACTGGCCTGCCTAAGTTTGTCTGCATGCTTTGTAACGCTCTGTAAGAAGAGCATATGCTTGATCGTACGTTCCAAAAGAGCATCTATGCTACACTGTTTTGTTTAAGAGTTTCAGAAATATGGATAAGGAAATCACTAGAGAAATAAGCAAGCACCTTAAAAAAATGAAAGCCAGTTAGTACCTTTGCCCCATTTGGCACAATCTCTCGTAACTCCTTAACACGATCTTGGATTTGCTGACGATCTTTTGGCCTTGGCCGTGTGCTTTCTCCAGGTCTAGCTCTTTTCCTACTCACTTTCGGAGGCTCATCTGCCTTATTGGGCTGGCCAATAATGGCACTCTCCTTTTTCATGCTCTGACCATCTTCAATCCATGAGGTAACTCGAGATATCGAGAGGCCAGTACTCTGGATATCACTTTTGGCCTTACCCAGATTCCAATCAGTGAAAACAGTACCTTCTGACCCCAATACCATGCTATTTTCTCTTGAGATAACAGATGAGCGTACTTGACTGCTACATAGAGAGGTATTCCCTGACCTTGTCAAGGTAGTACAAGAACTCTTACCAGAAAACGAGCTAACACTGGCAACTACTGCTTCCAATAGATCTCCAGACCTATTCTCTGAAAAGTCACCATTCTCAGGTACAATGCTCAGATCCAACTCTGAGAAATTGGTTGAGACACCATTGCTCGAATTGGGGAGATTTCCTTCCGCTGTGGGCAGTAGAACATTGTCCCAACGCGCTTGTTCACTACTGTTTCGTAAATCACAACCCAAAGTGCCAAAGAGCTCATCAACCCCAAATGGTAGCATGGGACCATTCGAAGAGGTCTCTCGGACCCCATCAGAATTATGAGCATTGAGTTTTGGGTTTTCTTTTAATTGATGCGAGCTGGTTAAGGAGCTGCTCTGAGGTATGTTTTGTGTTAGCATATCCCTCAGCCAATTTTGATCCTGTGATTCTATTGAACCAAATAGAGAATCCATGCCAAGACATTGAGAAATGGTATTACCCAGTGAGTCCATTGAGCTATCACCAACCTGTTCTGGCTGTCCAGGGGTCCATGTGCTACTACCGATATTCCCTAGGTTTTGTCTAGAAAGAGAAGGTTTGTTGCTTCTTTGTCTTAAGTCCTCTGATACCTTGGGTGAGTTACCAGAGCCTGTACATTCAATCCCTTGAAAAGGTGAAGAAGAAATCTGGGCATCCACATGTTTCCCAGGATACAAATAAGGCCTATCACTTTCAAGGATGCATGTATCATTTCCAGCATCAAATGACCCAACAGTGCCATACGTGGACAAACTTGGAATGCTCTCTGCCTGAGAGTTGGGAAGAGGATTTTGAGAAAGGCAGCTATCAGTGGTAATAGCAGAGAACATATTCACATCTTCTTGACGTTTCATTCTAGACCTAAGTTCTTGCTCCAACAAAGCCAAAGAGGCATAGCAATTTGCCTCAGAAGCTAAGCATGAAGCCGATTGCACCATATCCATTTTAGGATTTGGATTAAAATGTGGCATGTCTTGAAGTAGATTCAAGTTAGGATAGGGTATGATAACTTGAGCTTCGGTCTTGGAAGTTGGTAATTGGCTTGTGAGATTCAATCTGAGATTTCTCATGTTTGACTCCATGTTTGGATAACCAGAGATGATGTCTACATGAGCAGACGTACATGTTACTCTTGATGACGAAATCTGATGTTCTATGCCTTTCTGAGGCTTGATAATGCCAGAGTTGGATGGTTGTGTCAAAGTGATTGAATGCTTTCCATCAATCTCTTTGAAGGGGCCAAAGGATAGAGGTACAGCACAATCTCGTTTGGAACTGGATATTCGAGAGGGTGTTTCAGAGGCAGAGGTTCTCTGTGTAGCAATAGCATGAATTGTGGGGTTTGAAGCTTTTTGTGCACTCGCAGAGAGAACCTCTTGTACGCTATTCACCTGTAGAAATAAACTCCTTACATGGGCTATAAACTCTTTGTTTTCCATAATCTGCAATCAAAATAATTGGAGGGCATCAATGAATAGGTTTACCATGTGCAACAGTATATATAGGAATCAAATCTATAGCTAACAAAACTTTAACAAAATAATAGTCTTAAGACTGCAGGGGTAAAATGTAGAGAAGCTGAAAGTAGCATGATTACAGATGGTAGTATAAATTTGAACTGTCATAGTTTAAGAAATGAAGATGACCTGTGTTTTGCTTTAGATATGATATGCTTCACAAACATAACTACAAAGGAAAGAAACAATGGTGATCTGTTCAAAATGGTGCTTCGGAGAACGTATGAAACAACATTGTCAAAAGTCTTTTCAAGAAGTTGCTTCAGAGAAAGCACCATTCTATTAATAACCACTAAATTATAACCTTAACTTGGACAGGTTAGTTTAGGGCGTAATGAATGTCGTGAAGTATAGAAAACCAGTGCCTGCTAAGAAAAAGCTGATATCCAAACCGAAATTTTTTCTCACTTCATAAAGAGGGATGCCAGTGAGTAACTCTTGCTGTTTAATCTTTGGGACCAGTCAAAAAAAAGGAGTATCTAAAGCAAAACGTTATTTTCCCAATGAGCAAACCAAGTGGTCATCCTAATGAAAACACAGTTTACCTGTGTAGGTGTATTTAGTGATTATATGGTGATTTTGGTAAAGAAGGTCCATCAATTAAAAGTTTTTACTGCAATAATCAAGTCTTAACTGGAAAGGGGAATCCACAATCAACTTCAACCATATAACATCATTTACATTTTGTTTGGTCTGTTCCAAGTTCCAACTACTGACCTTCTTGATTGAACCAAGCTGAACCACTCCAAGTGAGGCCACATCAATGACTACAATTGTCTGCCAGAGCCAACGAACACATATAAGCAATACCCACAAAAAATGAAGTGAAGGGCTGACGCTCAGAGGGAGAAAAGGCGAAAGCAGGAAAAGTGAAAAGAACCAGACGCACCTTAATTCCAACTGAAAACTGATGACCCAATGCAGTAACATTCTGCAAGAAAACAACATATATCAGGAAACATTAGACCGATTGGTAAATAATAATAATACTTAAAAGACAGGAACCAAGCAAATAACCATTCGAAAAATTTCCAATATATTACTAGTGAACATACGGAAGTTGGAAGTAGGTAATAATGAAGTTAATTAATTTATTTTTTACTGTTAAGTTGTAATAATGAAGTTATTTTAAATGACCCTAACAATAGATGCGGAAATATTGATATCATCCAAGACTTGAGAGAGATGAATTTTTGGAAAATGGGAACCAAAAGGTCTTTGAGGTGCTGACATGCTTTTTTAAATGCATCCATCTCTAGCCAGACTAACACCTATTTGCATGAAGAACAGCTTACAAGACACGCATGCAATACATGTGCCCTTGCGAAAAAGGAAAGTTGACTATCAAACAAGTTTTCAGTCATACTTGGAAGTGAGCTTGCTGATCAGCATAGCCTGCTAAACTTCCTTTCTCAGTGGAGCTATCCTGGAATACCCATTGATGCTTTCCAGTATGAGCAACATGCCCAATTAAGCTGCAAAATAGTACATGAACAAAATCAGGGTATTCAACCTAATTGATAGTGCCAATACCTATCCAACAATTCAAACTGATGGCATCTCAAAGTTCCTACAAGGAATCAAATCTCAGATAATAATAATCAAGAAAGTCAAACTCATTGCATCTAGACAGTATTGACTCGGTAGAAAAGTTATAGATAACTAGTTCAAAATTAAATGCTAGGACAACCATAATTACAAATGCAAGACCTTTTTGTATATCTCGGAACGAATAAAAGCAAACAAACCAATCTTATTCCCCCTCAGCTCCACTGTACCATAAGGGCCTGTTTGCACGTGCGTGTAAGGGGGCACTGTACATGCTATGCCGTACACGCTGCTTGGGGATACCGGGATACCTAGAGTATCCAGTCCTTTTCAAGGAGAAAGGGAAGATATCCCCAACATGACCATCTTTCCCAAAAAGGTGTTCTATCATTATATGGATTTTACTCCAAGAAGAGCCTATCACATAAATGCTAACAGGCCCTAATTTCATGACTATAATAGCAAAATTGCACTAGGCATAAATACAGTTGTGTAAATTAATAAGGAATTCATACACCAGTTTCCAGACAATCAAGTTTGCAACACTATCTGTCTAGAACAGCATCTAAAAACACCAATCTGGCTGGGCCCACCAGGGCCCTAGACTGAGTCAAGCGGCCTGAACCGGGGAAGTGCTGAGTTGAACCGGTGATTTTTGAAACAAAGAAATCACTAGTTTCCTTGAAGAAAATTGGACACTCGTGGTGATTCATGAGGCTTTGTATGAGAACTCACTAGGGCATCGAGCCAGCTCAGACTTGTCTGCGATTTCTTTAACCTTTGTCTATAACAAAAGGAACATGGAATCATCTCTATGAGATTTTACATACCATTCTTCTACCACGTGGACTTGATGGAGCATTTTGTCAACCATTGAACCAATTTCGTTGTCGGTTTCGCACTTGACATGAGCTTCAATAATATCCTTTGAGAAACTATGAGATGGTCTGGGTTTGATTGTGGTAAGTGAGGAGCAATTGGAGACTTCTAATTGATCTTCTGGTGACGCGTAATAGGCGTCTTCACACATCACCAACCTGTTGTGCAAGACATCAACAACCCCCAAATTTAGTATGAATTAAAGAGGAGTTTTTTTACTGAGGCTCTTTTAAAGACTCCTTTTTTCTCCTTTTCTTTAACTAATATGAATTACCCTTTATCCAGTTTCTCGGAGAATCATATCATATCTGGTATGAATGAGTTTCTTCTGCAGACTGCGATACTAAGATTGGAAAAACAAGATTCCAATATAGAATTGACCCAGAAGTCAGGCCCAGTTTTTTCTTTACCTTCTTTGTTTTTGTTTTTAGAAAAAGGATCACAATCAGAGGATCACAATCAGTCTCTTATATATGAACTCTTATGCAAACAACAATAAAGGTGAGCTGGGTGAACATGGATTTCCGGTTGCGTATTACTATATTTAGAAGCTCCATCATGTAAGAACAAGAAGGGGTAGAAAAAAGCTTTTAAAAAATGGGATGAGAGACTAAGAAGTAATTCACAAAACAAATTCTCAAAGATGGGATGGCAAAGAAAAGAGCAGATTCACAAAATAGTACGTATAAATGAGTTATTAAAACCAGGTAGAAGTTTTGACCCAGCAGCAATAATGGTTATACAGGGTTCAAACAAAAGGAAAGGAGGAAACTGCAAATAAGAAAAGCAAAAAAGAGACAGGACATTATTTCCTAAAAGTGAAAATCCAAAACCATGCTAAAAACCAGAAAACCATTAATACTCAACTGTTGGGTATTACAGAGTGCAGGCCAAATTTAGATTGGACACTTCAACACGCAACAGGCCCAACTGGTACTAATTAATCCACTCCAGAAGCAGAGATTCACGCATTTGACCACATAAAAACAACAGCAGAAAATGTAGGTGGACTTACATGGGATCGAGGTACTTGAACTTCCATAACAGAGCATAAGACCACCCATAATTGTTGCAGAGGCTTTTAAGCGTCTCTTTAACAGGAGAACTCATTTTAAGCAGCAATGGGGAAAGGGGGGTCTTCAACTTGATCAGCTTTTATTATTACTGAACTCTTCTCTGAAAAAATAGAAAGCAAAAGAAAGCAGAGCTCTCAGCTGAGCTAGCTTCCACGGCAAAAGCCTCTCCCTGCTTGTTGGGTCCTCAACCCTCGTCCATTTCTCTTCCTCACTGGTTGTTCAGCTCCAACAAGGTTAATGAGCTCCATTTCGTGCTCCATTGCACCAAAAAGTTGCAGATCTGAAACCCACCAAAACACCATACAAGATAAAATATCATGGTTTTTCCTTGAGGATTAGCCCCATTTATATTTCATCAAGAGACTCCAAACCACCAAAGTTCCTAAAGCTTGGAAATGTTAACAATGGCATAAGCTTATTTGCACGAGTGAAAAGCAAGATTCAGAGAAGAAAATTTTCTTTTGAAGCTAATCACAAAACCATAAACCTTCCACTAAAAAAAAAAACAATCGATCAAAGTACAAAATCATCAGACATCTTCGAAGGTTATTAAGTTACAGAAAGAGAAAATAATGAAAATGGGACATGGATTGAAAGTCCAAAAACATAAAAAACCTTCAAACTTACCCAGAAAATAATGAAAGTGGTAACTGATCAAAGCCCAAAAGCATCAGACATCGTCACACATTGCTAAACAAAAGCATCAAAAATATTCGAACTCCATTGCAGCGCAAATGAAAGCGGTTTCTAGGGTACTTGATTCGAGACGTATTGAGGGAGCAGCTGGTGTTAAGTGTATGGTCACAGTGAGAGAGGAGTATTATGTGAGGCGAAGCAACACGAAAACAGGGGGTAGGTAAACAGGCGGTTTCAGGACCAACGGATAATGGTTTAGAGGGAAGATAAGGACTATTCCCACTTTTTATTGCATTCAATAAGAAGCGGATAAGCTGCCATTAAAGGAGGGGTTCATATTTGCACCATTTTTAGGGTTTTGAGGGATCTCAGGCAAAGATCTTATTCTCTCTCTCTCTAAAATTAGAGGCCCCGGGTTTTTAACCTTTTAGGAGAAAGATAGAGAGAGAGAGAGAGTGCAAATCTCTCTCTTGAAATAGCAGTGAAGAGGGGGCGCCCGAATCAGCGGAGGAGCGGCCAGATTTGACGCCGGTGGTGTGATTTTGATTAATTATTGAAATAGAGAGAAGGGGATCTCTGTGTCTCTCTACGAGAGTAGGGGTCGGGGATCATGGGGGTGCGTGCGGCGTAGAGAGAGAAAGGGTGGTCCTCTCTGAGAGAGCTGTGGGGTTTGTAGGGATCACACTCTGGGACAAGCTCTGCAAAATGCCCCCCTTATGCCTATGCCTTGAGAATCGAGACGCATTTTCTCGCTCTCTGTTACAGTGGAAAGAAGTGAGCTAGACTGTAGAGAGAGAGTGAGCTTAGAGAGAGAGAGAAAATAGGGTTTCTAATAATAGGATGTTGATTTTTTTGGATTTTGCGCGGTGAGTATTAATATTATAGATTTGGGTATTAATATCCATTTTCTATTATTCTCTCTCTCGCCCTTTTTGTTTGTTTCATTTGGTTATATTGCTCTCCCTTTTTTTCTTCTCTCTTTTTTTTTTTTTTATAAAATACTCCCTTTTTTTTTATTAGTTTTTGGACACGGTTTGGCATACTGTAAAAATGCTGGCTTGATAATAAATATCTATTTTAAATATAATTTAATAATAAAGTCCAGAGAATATGATTTTTTTTTAAACAATAAATAATAATTATATTAAAAAAACGTTTAGACCGTTAGTTACAACTGGTTTTAGATAGACCATCTATTTGCATTCACATTTGGACCGTTAGTTACAATTAGTTTTAGGTAGACGATCTATTTGCATCCATCTTTAAGATGGATGCTTTATACCTCTGGACCGCATATTATAGAAATGCAGTCTAACCCACATGAAACATTTTTTCTTATTTTTCTCTCTCTACACTATCTCAGATGTCTAAGTTTTTCTCTCTCGGCCATTTAACTCTCTCTTGGCTTGGTTTTGGTAAGTTTAGTAATTTGAAAAATGGATTGATGACCTGGATCGAGCACCCTACAAATTGATATGAATCGATGAATCGGCAATCTAAATTGTTATTTTATTGCGTAGAAAACATAGTGAATTGACAAAAAAACATGTGAAAAATAGCAAACCAGCTAAAAACCGGTATGAATCAGCGGTCCAAATTGTTATTTTACTGTAGAGAATTGTCGTTTTAGTGTGCGGAATCGCCAGTTCTCTTTTAGACTAGACTGTTTTTCTATTTATATGCAGGATGACCTATTCTCGTGTCAGACTGGACAATTCCGTGTCGATCCAGTGTTGTTTAAATCACTAGGTTATATCAAATCCAAGTATGGTTGCAAAATGTGGTCCGAGGGCCGAGCTTCTCCAAGGGGGTCGGCTAAGGCTAACAACAGCCTCGCTCACACCTATTGCCCGTCCTAAATTATGATATGCTGTTGATTATGGAACATCCACCTTACTATGTAGCGAAAAGCACAAATGGGAACATAAACATGTTCAAGTAAAACTTACATAACATGAATATGTGTATTTTTAAATTGTATAAAAATTACACGAAAAATTCGAAATAGCATTTCTGACTCTCATATACCTCCTCTACATAAAGATTATCTTCATCATTGTCAAAGCTTTTTCTCAACTAATTGAGGTAATCCTTGTGTATCGAAAATGGGCTTTGTTCCCTTAATCTGTATTTTCGAGAGTTGCAGTGATGAAACCTATATATTGGTAGAAAGGAGCACTCCACACTATAGCCTTGTATACTTCCATTTTAGGGGTGGGTAGTGGGTACCCTTTCAAACCACTTTGCAAACAAACTTGGCGCAGAAAATACAACATTTGTGTCTCCCGCTTTAGAAATGCAGACATTTACTTTTGCATGTTTTCTTTAAAATTTTCAAAATACAAGGTTTTCATTTTACCTAAATCCCATTTATCTTTCTTTTAAATAGTATTTTATCTTTCATATTTTTGAAATTTTAATCTTGAGATTGGCATTTCTAACCTATTTATTCATATTTCATATGCTAATACATTATGTACCAAATGCTCACACCCCTCATCCACATCAAATATCAAATTGTGAGATTTTTTACTAGAAATACCATCTTAGGTGCTCCCGCAATTACCAAAGTGCCTCTCTCTCTCTCTCTCTTCCTTATCCTTATGGGTGAGAATTTACCTGATTTAGATTTGAAACCCAAATTTTGGATCCTACTCATATCCAAGTATGGATCCAATGGGTCAGATTTGGATCATCAAACCAAGTTATTAAAATAGTATATATTATTTTATTTATATACATATATGTTGTATAGAATATTTTGTTATATACTATTTATAGATATAAAAAAGGAAAAAGTTTATATAGAGCCGAGGCTCTGAACAATCAAATTAGAGCCCACGTCAAAAAATTCACTAGAAAATGTTGTTTTGATGCCTAAATATCTTCAAATTGACCATCTCGACATCAAGATGCATGGACATGAGAAAAACAATGGATTTCAAGTTTTGGAAATAGTGCATCCTGTGACGCATTTTTAGACCATTATTTTTCAAGAATTTCAAGTTTTCATAGATCTGCTCGATCTACACTATTTTTGAAGCTTTAAATTTTATAATTATAGCTGAACTTGGCTATCACAAAGATTTTCAGTATTGAAATCATATTTCTCAACTCTATTTGAAGGTGCGGTTTACTTTGATTGTTTAGAGCCTTGTCTCTATACATACTGCACCTATAAAATAATATATATAATACTTTTTTTTGGATCCATTAGGGTCTGGATCCATTTCCAAATCCCTCGTAAAATTTTTGGATCTACATTCAGATATGAATATTATGTATCCAATCAGATCAAGATCCAAATCCAGATCCGATGAATACTTTTCGGATCAAATTCCAGATCTCAGTGGATCCAAATTCAAATCCAAATCCAATCCAACCCATTCTCATCCCTACTCTTCCTTAGGGTGATTTTTCTCCTTTAATTATCTTTATGGAATTTTTGAAGGTGTGGGGTCATTTAGGGCATGCTTGTACTTGGGTGGACAATAGCGACGCTGGGCAGTGATGTTCAGCTTGCCTAAAAATGGCAGTTGTCCCTCTAATTAGGCCCTACGAAAGGGAAGGGGAGGGGAAGAGGTCCTTTCTCTATCTTATGAGGACCCTAAGAAAGCGAAGGGGCGGGGAAGAGGTCCTTCTCCATCTCTCTTTTTGGCATAATATTTCGTCATGTTTCTCCACAAACACATGCATGTTCGAGTGCTTCATTATGCCCTTTCTCAAGAGAAAAAAAGAAAAAAAACAAAAAAAAAGTTCATGGGGCAATTATCAAAAAAGGTTGAAAGTCTCTAAAATATCACTAAGGAATGAAAGTCTCTAAAATATCATTAAATGAGATCAAAAGATTGCAAGTTACAATATAGAGTATGTTTTATATTCAATATCAATGAGTTATATCCTCAAAAGATGTTGAAATTTCTTCAAATCACCCTTGTTCGGTGTTGGAAAGCTAATTAAGGGTATTTTGATAATTTTACCCCTAATTTTTAGATCATGATGTTGTACAATTATCCTATTATAGGATTGTAAAATAATGAATTGTAATATGTCTATTTCTATTAATGGAAAATGGATGGAAGGCCTTTTCCTTCACCGATTTACCCCAAAAAATATATATTTGGTTAATATCTCTTTGAGGAAAGATTATTGAAGTACCTCTAATTATTCAGGCTTCCTAAGACCAAATCATCATCTTCGTCAAAATCTTTTCTCAACTAATTGGGGCTGTAAGTTTAGGAGTCATAATAAGTTTTGGTAAAGTTTTACGTTAGCTCCTTTACCTTGGCATGAAACGTGTTAAGGGAAAGTTTAAAGTCCTCACCCTTCTTAGACCAAAACAGAATAAAGGCAATTTTGAAAATTTTAAATATTTATTATTGAAGACGTACCTAATTAATATAAAATTTTAAGAGCCATAGAATGTAATTTATATTATTTTGATATTGTAAGGAGTTTCAACCCCTTTTATGATATTTCTTATACTCTTTGGATTTTATAATAAAGTTCTCTCACTCTTTTCGTTGTCTAGATTTGTCTTGTTTGTCCTATGTAGTTGGAATTCAATCTATGGTTTCATTTATATATTGCAAGAGAATAACAAGAAAGCTCCAACTCTTCTTTTTGTTGGCTGGCCACAAAAGCATTTATTATAAAAACGATTTTGAAATAGATAGATGTATAGAAGTTGAACCCTTTTGAAAAAGATCTATGTATAGAAGTTGAACCCATTTGGAATAGATACGTGCATGGATGTGTATACTACGCTCCTGCGGGAGCATAGTGTACACTCACTCAATTTGGGAGGAAATTTTCTAAAACAAAATTTTGAAACTGCCTTAAAATCACTAAATTATTATATTCAAAAGAAAAAGTTTTAATTTTGAGTTTTTGGACTCTTAGATTTGACCCACCAAAAATTAGACGGTTTACATTCGATCTTGGGGCAGCATTTTTTTTTTTAAGCCCAATGTATAACATATGTGTCGAAGAGGTTACATTTGCAAAATTTGGGGACCTAAAAATACTCCCAAATTGGTTTTGCCCGAGGGAGTAAATGGACAACATGCTCCATCAAGAGCATGAAATCTTTTCACTTCATCATAAGGCCCATGGAGGTAGAAATTCCTTGGGCAGAAGAAAAAAAAAAAAGAAAAAAAAAAGAAAAGAAGAAAAGACGAACAAAAAGAAAAGAAGAGAAAAAAGAGGATAAAATGAGTCAGCCATTTGGTGAAAATAGGCCGACAAAATTGATGGACAGCGAATCTAAGTTATCAAAAAGAACTCAAAATAAAATATTATAATCATATATGTTTCAAATAAAAGATATTATGCCAAATTTATGGCGAAATATTATCTATATTTGTGTTTTGGACTTTTAGCGCACAAGCTTATACTCTGTGACATAAAACCATTGAGTTATAAATCTTTTACATAAATGTTTTATTTATGAAAATAATTCATACAAGGCGTCAATCTTATACTATAAAATTAATGCACACCCCAAAACCCCATTGGAAAAGTTGATTTTTTTTTTTTTTTAACCAAAGAAAATCCCTCCAACTTATCATCTCAACCTCAAAAATAAAAAATAATTCATATTTAAAAAAAAAAACTATTGTCAGTCGATAGGCTGATGGACTAGTGTAAGCCTAATGGCTCATATTGAATATGTGCCGATCTTATGGTCACAATTGCATTTCGTATTTGAATTTGATTTTTTTTTTGTACAAATCCAAATCACATGAAATATGGAACGTCTATTCTTTAAAAATATTAGAATCTAATAAAAATATCAAAAAAAATAATTTATAAAAAATAAATTGAC